TTTAAAAAAAAAAAAAAAAAAAAAAAAAAAAAAAAAAAAAAAAAAAGGTTTATGTTGAAAATAACTCTTACTTAATGTCACTTTACCATCAGATATACTTATGGAACCATTTATGACAAAAAAGTTATTTATTTATAAGTAAACGTTTTTAAGCTCAGCCAAACATGCTTTATCATCTTATGGTGGTAAAATGTTAATACCAGCCAATGCCAACCGCCAAGCCCAACAGCCTTCTTGACAACACCTTGCAGGCCGACCAAAACACTCTTTGTTCTGTTGTTCCCAGTCACAATGACCTTTGTATGCCTCGGAAGAACAGAAAGCTCTTCATCACCACTTTCCTCGCGAGAAGGTGAAAAAACCCGTGAAGAACATAATTCAGTTTCCAGCATTTTATAACTCTTTACCAGGACTAGTAAGTAGAACAGATCAACTACAATAAAAACGTTCTTCTCTGCAATTAGCCGACATAAAATTCTATATACCCTTTAAGCATTCCTTTTCTCAAGCCAAAATATTGAACAAGACAGTAAATTGAGAAAAATCCGACTTGTATGTCAATCCGAACTGATAAAACCGACCATTCAATTTACCCAAGAACTTATATTGCCACAATGTTACTACATGCAGAAAGTCCAACCTCCAGATAAAATCCCTGAAAGGAAAATTTTGGGGAAGAATCATAACGCCGTACAAATTAAGCTTTCAAGAAGACTTGAGAATACAGGAAAAGTTCTGAAATCAGACGTTAATTTTAAGGAATCTCAAATTCAATATATCGAAAATCAATTTGATCATCTCCACACACACGCACACACAAGAACGCACACAAATACACATTCTCTCACACTCAGATGCATTGACACTCACTAAATTCTTCAAACTAGATTTCAAAAGAAAATCATTTCTGAAAAAGATATCTCCATTTTCAATATTATCAATTCATCAATATAATAAGGAATTACAATTCAATTACACAATTTTATTCAAAAATCATATCTGAATAGTTTTTGCACATGCATTCTTTTTAACAAAACTTCCTTCTTTAATATCACAATTCCAATTCGTAAAACTCCATAAATTATGTCACAGAACTCCACTGTGCTTCAAATTAACCTTATGTGAAGCATATCACCGAACAAACACACGAAAGACTCACTAAATACTTGAATTACAAAGGAAATAAATTTACTTAAAACATTATATCTTAAAAAACAACGAATTTGAATGCGAAAAGGCTTGATAACGAATACCTGTTCAAATGAATGTACAGGCAATGGAATTAGCACCGTTTCAGAGAGATGAAACACCTACTAATGCATTGAAATGCCATTGAAAAGAGAAAATCGAAGAACGAAAATCATTGGAATCTAGAGAGAGAGAGAGAGATCATGCATTAAATGCATATCAAGTTATTATCAGAGAAAAAGAGAAACAGTAAAACGACTTGCTTATCTCAGTTTGCAGAGAGTGACCCTACTTGTACGGTCAATGTTACCGGTAACCGGTCATTCTGGTAACGGACCGTAGTGACTCAGCTCAAATCCAAAAGAATAATATTAATGCGGTAGTCGTCTTATATAACATCCTGCATGACGATTTGTAATTTGATGTATTAATATGATAATTTTTTCTTACCTCATATATCAAATTACGATTTGAGGTAATTGATTGTTAAAATTTTATTTTGTGTTAAGAAATTAATTTAACCATTAAAAATAATTTCATTCATTATCAAATTATCGCGTGACATTTGCATGATGTATCATGAAATTTGAATTTTATTTTGAAAATTGGAAGTTACCTAGATATTTGAAGTAAGGATTAATTAATGAAGAATTAGATTGATTTTATCATTAGAGACCGAGTCAGTATTTGATTTAATTAAAAATCATATTGTTAATAAATTTTGATAAAATTAATACAATATGAATCTTATGAAACATACAATTAAAAAAAAAATAATGCTATTTGCAGTCGCTCACTGCAGCAGTCGTTCTACGTGTCATACACATGGCAGGTGGTTATTTGATGCATTAATGAATAAAAAAATTACCACATTAATGCATCAAATAATCACCTGTCATGTGTATGTCACGTAGGGTAACTACCGCAGTGAGTGACTACAAATAACATTACTCTTAAAAAAAAGTTTGTGAGAAATAAAATTTTTAAAATAGTAACCAATCAAAGATTGACTATAAAGATACTGAAATACAAGTTACAGATACTAAAACACAAGTTACAAACTTAATAAGAGGGAATGATAGAAGAATAAATTAGCGACCTTTTAAAAATAAACGAGTTTATTTTATAGCCTCTATTCGATAATCATTAAAACAAAAAAATTTTGTCAAACTTATTTTTAACTACACATTTTTACAGTAAAATATTTTTTCATGTAAACTCAATTTTCTGCTACTTTTTAAATAATTTTCAAAAACTCACTATTTCAAAGCTAATTTTTTTAAGAAAAAGTCTATTTTTTTAATGATTGCCAAACAAGGCATAATATTAACTGTGAACTAGAGTAGCCTCGGGGCATAGACTAGTGGTGCAAAGGATAGGAGTGAGGATATCTAATGCCTTACTGGCAGTCACAGTGTGGGAATTCGATTCCTGAAACATGAAATTGGACTCTTTGTAGGCGCTGTATACAAGCAGCTCTTGTTTCTTAGCCTATTGGGGCACATCCCGCGATTTATCTCCTTTACAAACCTCTAGAAGTGGGATAGTGAGGACCCTCAAAGTTGGGATTCAATCTTTTTTTTTAACTGTGAACTCGAGCTGAGCAGGACTGAGCAGGGAGGTAACCGGTAAAACTAGGAATAAAGGAACACACAAAGTACAGGTGTCAAAGATCGTGTTTTTATTATAAAAGATTTGACTAGTTCCACTTTTTATGAAATCGAGGTGAAACATTTTTCCATTCTTTTGATTTATTTGTACAGTTCCGTAACTGAAAGGAAAAATTTATTTGTGTGAAATTTTGGCTTGAAGTCCGCTCTTTCTTCGATGCAGCTGGAGCGCACGGGAAGAGAGAGAAAGATTTCAAATATTTTGAAGGGTCCCACACGTTTACTTTCCGTTGGGGGGTGGAATCTGGTGTAGTGTGCATGAGCAACATGCTAAGAACTGTGTTTCTCCCTTCTGATTATGTATATATTGAAAAATAAGGTGTTAGATACTCATTTTTTGAAAAAATGATTTTTAAAATAGTAAAAAATAGAAAATATGTTAATAAAAAATATAGAAAAGTTTTTTTTTTTATTTCTGTATAATGTTATTTTAATAAATAATGTGGTTAAAAAGAGAGAAAAATGTATTTTGATAAAAATGAAAATCAAACGAGAGCTAACAAAATTTCACATCCTGATTTTGAAATTCTCTTTTGGTCAACGTTTGGCGCCATAACTGATGTAAGCTCCGTATTTCGAGGTTTTTAATTTTCAAGCTCAGCATACGTTCAACTAGTGTTAGTAAAAAATAAAGGTATGATCAAATCAATTTTTATTCATATATTTCGTGAAATTTATAAATATTATTCATTTATTTTTATTTATCTAGCCTCCGTTGGGCCCCCATGATTTAGTTTTATAATTTTTGGAATAATATCTTTTGGAGTAAGTGTGGTTGAAAAAGAATGAAAAGTTTTTTTTATTTAGGTGTAATATCATTTTAAGACATATTGGGTGACTAAAAATAAGAAAAAAAAAAATATAATGCAAACTTATGGGGGCCCATGAGGGTTTGCTGATAGTCGCAGTGTGAGGATTCAATTCTTAAGATATGGAATTAGACTTTTTGTGGGCATCAATGTACGGACAAACTCTTGTTTCTTGATCTGCTAGAGTATATCCTTCGATTTACCTTCCACACGATACTCCACGAACGAGACAGTGAGAACCCTCAAAGTTGGGGTTCAAATTTATTTATTTATTTTTAAAACAAAACTCCTATACGAGCTTTCATTCTTGATTGGAACGTGCTATAGCACCAGAGACCGAACAACACAAAAATGGGGAGGTCGGCATTTTTATATTCAAGCGGGACCCACGACTTGTGACGGTCGGTCAGCCCTTCTGACGGTTTTCTTCTGGCAATTCAACATTATTGTTCTTGATTTTGCTAGTCAATCGACCTATTTTTGATAGCCTCTAGACAAACAACTTGATTGATGTGAAAAATAAGTTATTCAATTGTGACAAAACAAGTGTTTGTTTAAAAGAGATTAATTAAAGTGAAAAATTATTTTTTTTAAAAAAAATAAGTGATCAAAAAGTAAGAAAAAATTATGGGACCATGTAAAAAAAAAATTAACTAATATGTGATTAAAATTGAGTTTAAAACTAATTATTTTTAAATTAGTTGTGCCAAATAAACACTAAATGGCATAATTTAAATTAAGATACGAGTTCTACTAAGCTTGCAATCTAATAATTTGAAAGTTGATGTTCACTCGGAGAATAAATTATAATTTAAATTATTATAGGCTATGAGTCCTCCAAAACGTAGATAATAATTATGAATAATAAGTAGATAAAAATCATGAATTCTACAAAATGTGTGAATAAAACGTATGTTTGATCGAAATTGATTATGAACATTCTGATATTGTGGGCTATGGAGTACATCGTACTTATAATGATCCAATGGTCTCCTCAACAAAATAAAATGTCTTAGTTAAATAACAAATAACATCTACATAGAATGATTTGAACCCATCAACAGAATCAGAGCCTCACATAACTTAAGAAGTTCCATTGTTTTCTTTGGAAACCTAATATTCTATTCCATCCGTATATTGTTGTTCAATCCCCCGTTAACAAGATTTTCAAAAGGATAATTCTTGTTGTACATTATGGGCTACATAAGGGTGTCCCTACATAAGGGTGTCCATAATGGACACCCTTATGTAGCCCATAATGTACAACAAGAATTATCCTTTTGAAAATCTTGTTAACGGGGGATTGAACAACAATATACGGATGGAATAGAATATTAGGTTTCCAAAGAAAACAATGGAACTTCTTAAGTTATGTGAGGCTCTGATTCTGTTGATGGGTTCAAATCATTCTATGTAGATGTTATTTGTTATTTAACTAAGACATTTTATTTTGTTGAGGAGACCATTGGATCATTATAAGTACGATGTACTCCATAGCCCACAATATCAGAATGTTCATTCTCTTCCTCTATTATGCCAAATGTTGGTTGAGATGAAGAAGATACGTCATTATTTGGTTGATAGGTTAGTTCATTTAATGTTGAATCTTCCAATTTCTAGAGTAACAACATAACGATCTTTTTTAAGGACGAAACTCTTCAAGACATTGATTTGCTATAAAATGGAGAATGGCTTTCTATCCAACTCCATTATTATCTATATTGAGAGGAGCATTGCTCTTTGTATTGATACCGAGGTCATAGTTGACAAGGATTATCTTTTGAGAAATCGCAAGGTTCGACAGAAGTAGTTTTTAATGTGTTTGTATTGCACGTTTTGACACTTTTTCTTGTCTTTTACATATTTTTTTACGTTGATGTTTTAGTAATTCATATGCATATTGAAGTCCTCATTATGCCTTCATTTTTATCTTTTCATTTTTCTCATACTTTCAGAATCCTCTTTAAGAAAATTTTTGTCAACCTACCTGATTAATAAATTTTTTATCCTCCCCTGCTTTGAGGATGATTAGAGTCCTCCCCTTTATTGAATTAATTACACATGGAACCCATCTAAAAAATTCCTCAACTTTAGCTAATTATATAATTATAAGGAAAAAATTACGGCAGCTACAGGCTGCACCTTAACCTTTTATTTTTGGAGTCGCAGTCCAAACCTTTCACTTTGATTGTAGCTGGAGTCCATTGGACAAAAACGATTCATTAATATGTTAGTCAACCCTAAAATTAGATGTTTGATTCAAATTGACAAAAAAAGTGTGTTTAAAATAGTAAATTTATGTTTTCTATAATAAAAGAATTAATATAATTAAATAAAAAATCAAATAAAAATAAAAGTAAATCAACTTCATCTTCTCCAAAAATAAAAAATCAAGTGTTCGCACTCCATCGTTAACATCGACTTCGGTGTCAACTTCGCGATCGCCGACCATGTTTTGGATCTCTTCAAATAAGCTTCTCTAATTTTCTAAAGAATTGAAAGTGAAAGGGGTGGCAAAAGTGAAGCACTTCTCGCTAGAGTTCAAGCGTAGTTAACAAAGTTTTCGTGGAGCCACGACAATGCATCACATATACTCTCCAGTGGCTCGAGTGGCGAACTCTGGCAGCACAGACAATTCGTCGACAGCGCTAGGTTATATCGTACTTGCTGCAACTCACAGAAGGCTCTATAGGGGCTATAATTCATCAATAATAGCAAAAACAACCACGTAAAAGCCTCGAATGAAGTTCAAAACAATTTCGATAAACTCACCAAAGAGAGCTTCCTTTGTTGCACCAATTTTGCACAATGCATAGATTTACATTATTTTTTCAATCAATAATTTTGATTATTTTATAATTAATGTCCACATTGATTTTGACGACAGTGGGTGATGGTCGGCAGTAGGGCTGTACATAAATCAAATATGGACCAATTTTGCCCATATTCAATTCGATCTGATAAGAATAATTCATGAATCCGATTCAGTTTGATAATTCAATGGATAATTGATTGCTAAATTCATGTTCGATTTGCTATGTTATCGGATATCTAATCCAATGATCCGATTCAGTTTGATAATTCAATGGATAATTGATTGCTAAATTTATGTTCGATTTGCTATGTTATCGGATATCCAATCCAATGATCCGATTCAAAATTGAACAAATTCGAAAGATAAAAATCAATGTTGGAATTAACGTATTATTTAGGCCGATCATTTAACCAACAAGGCCCAAATAATGAAAAATTCAAGCAATAGCCGGTCCCCTTAAAAAAAATATTAATATTAAAAAAAAAAAATCATGCGTTGAATGGTTTACGACTTCTTGAAAAGTAAAAGAAAATCCCATTATTTTTGTGGTTTTGAATTTGATGACCTTTTTATTTTAAATTTCTTTATTTTCTCATTTATTTATTTTAACGATAGATAACTTGTTATAAAAATATTTAACCAACTCAATTATTTATAACAAATCGAATCGGATTGACCTATATCCATATACTTTGTCACTTAGATGAGTAGTATTGTAAAAACATTACTTGATAGGATTAACCTTCTTATACATAGGGGCCTCCATAATGGTATCCATAATGAACACGTGGAGGCCCCTATGTACTTCTAGCATCCTCCTGATAGGATTAATCTGCTTGATATTTTAATTGTCATCCCTACAAGAGGGCAAAAGAATTGAGTAGAACCTAAAATTATAAAAGAATTTATAATTAAGGCAACTTTTTTTTTCACATTCTTTTCGTGTTTGCTTGGACAGTCCAAGCCCTTTTGACACCAAGTTCAAAAGGGAACCGAGACATTAAAGACAATTAGCTCTTTTAAAAGACTACTTGCCCCAACAAAAAGTGCTTTGGGCTTGTTTTAGGGTACATCAAAATGGACGATATGATATTTCTAGTAAAAACACCATGCCAAATAAGTCTCAAAAGCTAAGTGCTCACTTAACATAGAACAGTAGAATTTAGACAACAAATTGTCTTTAAAAAAATTAATATTGGAAAAGAACATCATAAGGGGGCAATATCATTCATTAAAAAGTTGACAAGTAACAAATTATCTTTTGCCACCACCGCCTCCGAGCTTTGGACCCTTGGGTATAGCACCCTTGGGCACGTTACCCTTGGAAGTCTTGGTCTTGGACATCAATTCTGCCTTCTTTGCCTTCTTCTCGTCCTTTGTTTTCTTGTTTCTCTCCTTGATCTCACTGAGAAAACATACCGCAAGTCAACATTGGTTCCAGACGCAATTTCTTAACAAGAGCATTAATTATGATCAAACATTTGAGCTCTCGACTTACCGTAAAGCAGCTTCACGTGCAGCATCTCTGACTTCTGGCTTCTCAGCTCTCTTCTTTTGAATCACTTCCAAGGTAGCACCAACTATTGACCTTGAGTAAGGCTTCTTGGTGGTTCGACGCCTCTTCTTCACAGTTTCCGCAGCTATATCCTATGCATATCAGTAAAAAACCAGTTAAAAAGACCAGTCCTCAAAGAAAATCAATGCATCAAAGGGGAAAAAACAATAAAAGTGCGTTTGATTGCCAATATTTTCCATGAAAAGTGTATTTTTTCCACTCAAATTCCTACTTTTGTTCTGTTTGATTGCCATTTTTTCCATGAAAAACATTTTTCTACTTTTGATCACATAACCATATTTTCCTCAAAACTATGGAAAATATTTTTAGGAAAAGCAGGATTTTATTTTTAAGGGAATTCACTCTCTCTCTCTCTCTCTCTCTCTCTCTCTCTCTCTCTCTCTCATCTACTCTCCCTTATATACCTAACAATAAAAAATGGACAAGTACAATATTTTCTAAATTGAAAATTAAACACATTTAATTAACAATTTCATGCAAATAAATTCTAGGCAATTGAATTACCTAGAATTTATTTTCTTTCCATACAAATTACATGCTTGCAATCAAACGCACCCTAAAAGTGGAAGACATTAAGTTTGTTTCACCTTTTTATGTTGTTTCCTGTACACAGCAGTCCATGTAAGCTTTGCAGGCCTCAGGCGGTTGTGGAAATACCTCTTGCATTTTGAGTTGGCAAAGAGGAAGACCTTGAGCAGGCAAAAAAACAGTCGGTTGCTTTAGAACATGCTAGCATATAATTAGACAATACAGTGAAAGAGATTTTAACATCTCTTTGTTCCTTTATACCATCTAATTGACATTACAAAACCTGCTATTAACTTAAGAAAGACACCCCAAAATATTTGCTGAGGAAAGTACTTCGAAAGTGAGGGATGATGTGAGATGTAGAAAGCACAAAATGTATAGATTTGAAAGAATGAAACATTAACATCTATATCAAGAATTAACCATGATAATAGACAAATATTATAAAACAAAATTTAGCAACCACAGCCATATTAGCTGACCTGGGAGTCTGAGCGGATAAATCTGATACCCTTCCCTGGGTATATCTTGGCACCACTGAAGCGACAAAGCTCTGTCCTGATTATCCAAGATTAATAGCAAGGCAATTTGTTGAATTAAAATAAAATTCTAGAATCAAACATCAGGTAAGTACATGGCATATAAGATACAGCAGAAGCAGCGACAGCACAATTCTGTTAAAATGAGGCAAAAATGTTTTGGGTGATCAAAATTAGTCAACAAATTTGGGAGGAACCATCCCTTAAGACCAACATAAAAGTTGACTCACATACAAAACGAGTTGCTCACATTATCACGAACATTACACGAACTCTTCAAATCATGTCTCAAAAACTCTTGAAAAAGCATCCGATGAGTTTTATTAACTATTAAATCTCGTACTCAGACAAAATTAAATAATTAACTTCAAAGTTTCATGCAAATTTTCAACTTTCCAGGCATCAGCATCCATTCAAATACTGTAAGCTCTCTAACTCCTAATAGAAACTAAGAGTTCAACAAATCAAATAAATATGACACCACGAAAACTATCCATCTTAAAAATAGGAGTTTTACCAAGTACAACCCTTTAGAAATTTAACAATCATGGTTTAATAAAAACATAGGCAATCACCCCAGTACATGTAGTTCTTCATTGAAAGATTATCATTTCTAACTTAAACAAAAACAGAAACAAATACGACACAGTTGCTAAATTGAACGCAGAAGAGTTGAATTGTAGAACATATTAAAAATTTCAAATAACAGGTGTCTCCTTGCTACATCGACTATAATCAAAATATCTCTGAATAGTCAATTACCATAAGATAATCAATGAAAATCTAGATTAGATCTTTAAATCACGCATGCATCTCATTACTCTGTGTATGTGAGAGAAAGCGATAAAATATAACACACAGATATATGCTTACATACAGATGTGAGAGAGAGATAGAGAGATTTACTTGAGAACCATTGTTGTTGCAGTTGCTAACTTTCGCCGCGCTTGCTAAGTTTACACATAAAATCAAATGAATGAAACCCTAAGCCTTATATGGGGCTGAATTTCTGGCATTAATATGGCATCGTTTGTATTTGGGCTTCCAATGTTATTACAAAGAGAGCCTACAGATTGGGCCCCCGACGGTCTCGTTGTAGTTACAGTGGGCCCAAAACTGATTTCTCAAATCATCGACATTCTTAGGCCATCCCCAATGCTGAATCAAATTTTGCACCAAATTAAAATTCATTTCCAACTATTTTATCAAAACTTATACTAAATGAACAATTTTTAACAATTTTCTTCCATTTTTTATTCTTAATAATTTATTTATTTAATTATTTTATAAATACATAAATTACTAAATAAATAATTACGTTAAATTACATAAAAGATTAAATTTATTAATAAATATAAATAATATAGTATAATTAGTAAAAACTTTTCTATCCACTTTTTTTAGGTATCATTGTTTTTAAATAAAATTAGATTATCATATGTATGTTGTCGTTTAATATATTTCATGTTAACTTTAATAAATAATTGTGTTTGTTACATTTTAAATTTTTTCTTTTAATTAATTAATTAATTATTATTACTTACATTTAAAATTTATTTTAAACATAAATAATAATAATTTATTGTATTAAAAAATATATAGCCAAATGACGCAAATATCCTTAACAAATTTATTTGGGAAATAATAAAAAAATGGCAAAAGAGTCTTTATACACTTTGCACCATTTTGCACCAACATGGTGCATTTTAGTGCTTTGGTGCTCACATTGGAGATGCCCTTAGGCCATCTCCAGCGTTGTACCAAAATTTGCACCATTTTGCACCAAATTTTGTATAAAACCAAAATTCTTCTTCAACCATTAAACCAAAACTTACATCAAATGAACAGTGCTTTATTATTTTATTCATTTTTTTGATTTTTGTCAATATATTTATTTAAAAAAATTATTTATTTATTTTATACCTATATATATTACTAAATAATAATTTCGTTAAATTAACAAATATATTGATTATTAAATTATTCATGTGTTTTATATATTATATTAAATTGAAAAAAATAATTGATTATATTATTAATTAATGATAAACAATTACGTTAAATTTACAAAAATAATAAACTTTAATAATATAAACTTTAAGTTAAATAAAACTTTAAACGTAAACTTTATGAATTAAACTTTACATTAAATTAACAATTACGTTAATTATTAAAAATAATAAACTTTAATAGTATAATTAATTATCATCATCATTGCCATTATCATTATCATTATAGAACAAATAACCTTAATCATTATATTTGAAAAATGAAAAATAAGAGCAAAACGGATATTGCTCTATTTAGTGCAAAAAAGGTATAATAAATAGTGTTGCATTGGAGTAACTTTGCACCAAAAAATGGTAAAAATTGGTGCAATGGTGTTAGCATTGGAGTTACCCTTAGAGATTGTTTATCTCCCATTTTGGGGGAAAAAATATAGAGTTTTGAATAGTAAATTTTGAAAAATGTGCGGTTGAAATTTTAAAAAATTTATTGGTTTATATGTAGAATATTTTATTGTGTAATTGTGTGGTGGAAAATGTTACTGTAGCAAACAATTTATTTTGTTAAAGGATGACAAACAGAGCCTTAATTTCTCATTGCAAACAGCAATCCACGTGGGCTTTTTCTTCCTTCCAAAATTGTCCTTACGCCCAAAATCATAATACCAAATTTGTCCCTTTCCTCGTAAACATTATTATTAAAATGGATAATTAAAGTTGAGATCTCTAACATTTTATGCGATAGGTTATGGATCCTCAATTTTTAGAAGTATGGTTCTGTGTGTTGAACCTGTTTAAATATTGATAATATGGATGTAAAATCACACTCAATTTTCACGATGAAAAATTTGAGAGTAAAATCGTCAAATCATATAACGTTTCTCTTGAATTCAATTGAAAGTTACATGCAATTGTAACAATCATATTAATAGTTTTATTTACACGAGAATTCATATTCACAAATTTAAGTAAGTTGTGGATCTAAAAATTCACTTTTAAATATTGAGAACTTATAACTACGTTACGTGAAAAGTTGAGGAGTCTAATCTTAACTTTCTTTCAAAAAATCCCATCCCCTCTCTAGGGTCTGCAATGGTTCGGTTCGAGATCAGTTTGGGCAAAAATCATTACCAAACCATCAATTTTTTGGTTATACCATAACCGTACCATATGTTGAGCAATTCCTTCCAAGCTGATGAACAATCTGTGCTGGCATTTCAAGATTATTTCCTTCTTTGTTGTTTCTTGTACATATTATATTAGGATTTGATATGTAATTATTTAGGTGTCTTATACGGTCCATAACTTAATGATCTTACCATGTATTGTGGCTATTTATGCCAATGTTGAGAAGAGCAGACAATATAAGTTTTCCAACCTTATTTTTGACTTGGTATCAGAGCGGTTCCGATCACCGCTGAACCCCGAATCCTCCTTTACATCATGACGGATGACAAAACTGAATCAACACCAATTATTCATGTCCAGTCAGAAAGTCTGCCTTTACAACCAGTGTCATTCTCACTAAAGTTAACTACGATGTATGGTCCCAGATCATGGAGATGCAAATTGCAGGACGTGAAAAGCTTGAATACACTATGAGCAAAAACCCAATCCCACAAGATATTGACACTACCTATAAAGGGGTGGTTGCTAACCTCTATGTCACTGGATATTATGAAGCGTCATATTTGACTGTGCACCACACGGGAAATCTGGAATGCTCTGGCCAAAGCTTTTTACGATGGATCCGACGAATCACAACTTTTTTTATTGAATCAGAGAACTTTCTCTACCAAACAGACTGGTCGCCCTCTATCAACATATTATGGTGATCTTGTAGAAATTTTTCAGGAACTTGATCATCGTGACAAGGTTGTAATGAAAGACCTTGATGATGTTATTGCCTATAGAAAATCTGTTGAACGATTGCGTGTACACATTTTCTTGAATGGATTGGATGCAGAATTTGAACAACTCAGAGGCGAGATTCTCAAAAAGGACCCGATATTAGACCTTGAAGAAGCCTATGCTTACGTACGTCGAGACTCTGTTGCAGAACCACTCTAAATGGTGAAGCTGAGCGTGTTGAGTCATCTGCAATGGTGGCACTTCGAGCTAAGCCTAAAACGGATCGATCAACTGGTCCTACCATTGATCAAAATCGGGTATCAGGATCCCAAAATTGTAGCTATGAAATTGGAATAGCAAAGTCAGAACATATTTGTACTCACTGTGGTGAAACTGGGCATAATAAGTCACAATGCTGTGAATTGATTGGGTACCCAAAGTGGTGGGATCCTGCCAAAGCACCTCGCAAACGGAACTCTAAACTAAATAATCATACCTCGGTTGCAGTTGCAGAGCCTTCCATCTCCAACACCTCCAACATGCCCGAGGATTCTTCAGCTTTAATTGCTACATCCGGTAAGGCTCTTTATACTTCCACTCCTAGTAGTAATGGTGTATAGATAATTGATCCTGAGGCAACAGACCATATGACCTTTAACAAACATTATATTCAATCCATGAAACCGTCTAAACAGCACGTTGTATCCACAGCAAACGGGACTCCCTCCCTTGTTATTGGAGAAGGTTCTATCACCCTTAGCGAAAATATAAGTCTTGATTCTGTATTAGTTGTTCCAACCCTCAATCATAATTTATCGTCGGTTGCCCAGATAACTCTTACTCTGCATTGTATTATGATTTTTTGCCTAACCTCTATGTTTTTAAGGATATCCGAACTTGGAAGACAATTGGTTATGGTACTAGAAGGGGGAAGCTATATTACCTTGATCTAATGCCGGCGAGTTCTCATCGGTTATCTCAAAGACTTGCCGTGAATAAATCTGCAGACTCAAAAGTTTGACTGTGGCAGAAACGTCTGGGTCACTTATCATTTGGATATTTAAAGAAATTGTTTCTTGAATTATTTACTCAATTGTCTGTTTCAAATTTTAAGTGTGATGTGTGTGAAATGGCTAAAAGCCATCGTGTTCCATTTCCAATAAGTATGAATAAAAGTCCAACAACTTTTATGATTATTCATTCTGATGTATGGGGTCCAGCAAATAACCCCTCTCTTAGCGGTAAACGGTGGTTTGTTTCCTTTATTGATGATCACACCCGTATGACTTGGATTTGCTTAATGAAATCAAAAGGTGAAGTTAGTTCATTGTTCAAACAATTTCATAAAATGATAGCCACTCAATATCATTCAAAAATACAAGCTCTTCGCAGTGACAATGGTGGAGAGTTTGTTAATCAAGATTTGAAACTATATCTAGATGATCATGGCATTACTCATCAAACCACTTGTGCTTACACCCCTCAGCAAAACGGGGTTGCGGAGTGCAAGAACCGCTACCTGCTTGAAGTTGTTCAGGCTTCCTTGTTTCAAGCTCATATGTCGACTAGTTATTGGGGGGAAACCATCACAGCTGTAGCTTATCTTATCAACCGAGTTCCCTCGAATGCATTGCAATTTCAGACCCCCTTGAGTGTCCTTCATAAAGTTGTGAATTCACCTACTGTACCGAATCTGTCACCTAGAGTTTTTGGGTGTGTAGCCTTTGTTCATATTCATAAGCCATTAAGAAATAAATTGGAACCCCGAGCTCTCAAGTGTGTCTTTGTTGGCTATGCCCAACATCAAAAAGGCTATCGCTGTTATCATCCTCCCTCTCGAAAATTTTATGTCACTCTTGATGTTGCATTCCATAAAGATGGTATGTATTATTCTCGAGAGTCTCTAATTCAAGGGGAGAACAGAATTGAATTGCAAACTCTCAATCATCACTTGGATACCTTGGAATTTATAAGTGGTGACAAATAGATGGAAAGGCATGAGTGTCCAGATGGTGAGTATTTGAATCACGGCAATGAACATCCAAATGATACTATTGAGCATGATTCACAGGACGACAACATGGAAGAACAGATGGAAATGCAACCAGAATCTCAGCCTACTACTTCCCCTCTTCATGATGTGCCAATAGATCAATTGCTTCCTGAGTCCGAG